CACAGGGGAAGCGGACTTTGGCCTCGTTTTGGCTCTCCTTGATGACGTAGGCCTGGTACCAAACGTTGCTGCCCGCCTTGAGCTCCATCATCGGCTTGTCGGGCATCGCTGCGAGCAGCTCCAGGTCGAGGCGCTCCCCCGCCTGCACCTGCGACTTGGCGGTGACGCCGCGCCGCACGCCGCGCGCGCTGCGGCCGGCGGCCCGCCGGCGGCTGAGCTCGCGCTCGCTGGCAGCGCCGCCGTTGTCGGCGTCGCCGTCGTCGTCCGCGTCTTCGTCATCTAGGGGGGGGGTTAGAGGTGACATCAGTTAAGGCACCACCCATACGCGCCTGGCAAGCACTTGGCTGCGGCACCAGAATTGCTGAGGCTGCCGTTCTGCTGTTGGCACCGCTGCCCGCTGATTGATTGGCTTGTTGCCAACAGATGATGCGATGTGGAGTGGGCGGCTCGACTTGGCTGCACGTACGACTTGGGGCGCAAGCCCAGGCTGCAGCACGCGCCGCAGTGTAGCAGCTGATCAACCATTGCTGTTCAACTGCCGCTGTCTATGATTTGAGCTGGCATCCGCAGCTGACCGACCGCACCTGAGCTGGAGGCGTTCTCGGCGTCGTCGTCCACTTCTTCTTCTTCGTCGTCGTCTTCATCCTCTGCCGCCGACCCGCTGCCCGACGTCGACTCGGACTCCTCCTCATCGTCATCGCTGCTGCTGCCGCCAGAGTCGTTCATCGCGTCTTCGTCCTACGGGGGCCCATGCGAGGTGGCGCAGCTGATAACTTACGCTGCGGGGGCTTGCATGTGCTTGCACAGCCCTGGTAAGGCAGGTTGCAGAGCCACGGTTCAAGGGCGCACCTTGCAAACATGCCACACGGCGAGTCACATACAACCTTGCCCGCCCTGCCAAAACGGCTGTATGACATCGGTGACTCCCTCACCTCGCTGCTGGACGGGGCAGACGAGTCACTGTCTTTGTCAGTGGCCGCCATGCCGCTGGACCAGCCGCGCACACACCCGCCGCGCCACGCTGCCACGCCCCCGCCGCGTGCGGCCCGCCGCTGCTGCTGCAACCCTTGGAGGGTATCAGCCACTCTAACCCGCTCCGTTAGCCTGCGATCAGGCCGCTGAGACCGCCTGGCTGCAACACTGCACCCACTACGATATGACGGTACGCGAAGGATCGCCGGGGCTGCCGTATCGTCTTTCTTGCCACCTTAAGTGCTCCTATCCGGCAGCCCAAGGCGTAGGAGCGAGGGCACACTGCCGCCAGATCGTATTCTCGTGCTGCCTTGCGCTCCTCTCCTGGGGCTGCACGGAGCGTAACAACAAGCAAGGACGTATCTGACAAGGCTCTGTCAAGTGAGAAGATCACTCCAAAGGTAGCACCTGCAATCAACCGGACTGAACCTTACTGTATGTGTATCGACCCTGGCGCGGTGTGAACACCCAGCAAGCATGGGTAGGTTTGCGCATGACCCTCACTGTGCTGTGCAGGAACCAACTGGCAGGACCATTTCAACAGTACTTGTTCGTACGCACTGGGCACAAACAGCAGCAGAGTCACATCGATGTACCAGGCAAACATGTGCACACGACAACAATAGGTGCGCCTGAGCCAAGGCTCTAGGGAAAGCCGACCTTGTCTTGAAACTTGCGAGTGGACTGGAACTTGGGATTAGTGGACTGCCTTGGCGAGAGAGGATCATGTTCAGCTCACAGCAGGCACCACATCATTGATTCATAACAGCCTTGGCTTTGCTGGTGTTGCACACATTTCATGAGCTGAGAGATTATTGTTTGTTTGCAGACAAGAAAATACCTTGTCAGGTACATGCCAGCACTGGGCTAGTCAGGCGTGAGCAGGGGGTAAGCAACTTGTGACGTTCGGCCGGCATCGAAACACCATCTGCAGCTAGGCCGAGATCAAACCACCCGCTCCTCTCTTCGCTTGTTCAGTCTATGAAAAAGAATAAGACAACCTTATGTATTGCTGGTTGAAGCTGCATGGAGCTGCCAAAAGTCTGGATTACAACAGGGATTGATATAATGGCAGCCAGTTGCCAGTTCTTGACTTGGCCAAGGACGGCGCTCAGTGCGCGCTTGCAAGGAAGGGGGGCGTGCTGCACGTGCGCACGCGCAGTGTGCTGAATCCTGAAAGGGTACAATGAGTGTAAAATGAAGCCTTTGTTGGTGAGGTGTTGGGGGCTATAGCAGCAAGGTGCGCATGCCAGAGGCTGGCAGGGCTATGAACATTGGTCAGGAAGTGGTGGGCATGCCGGGTCAGAGCGCGCAGCTGCTGCGTCGTGACTGGAAACCAGTCTCGGACCAGACGCGTGCTGACGCCGGGTACTGGTGTCTGCGCACCCATGTTTGCTGCACCTGCCCAGTGGCCTGCTTTATCCACGACAAATGTAAGTAGCAATGGCCCAAAAAAGGGACACAAGGCACCTTTGCGCTGCAAGTGTGTGGCTTGTCAGTCCTGCTCCTTGCAAGTTCCCTGGTGTCCTAATATCAATCATGTCGCAGTGTCATGTCATGCCTGCGGTAGTAGGGCCAGCTGCTGCCTGACCCTGGCGGCCAGGTTGACCGCGTATGTGCAGTTGGCGGTGGCTTGGCTTTCCACCAGCTCAAAGAAAGGCATCGTCTTGCTGTGTACCGGGGCGCAGCGGGGGTGGGACGGGGTGGTCCAAGGGGGGTTGATAAGGTGTTGACAGCTAGGGATCACAACGGGTCACGTCAGAACTGACAGAAACAGGTGGAGGTGTCGCACGAGACCTGGATGCATCGAAATTTTCTGATGCACCATTTCCGGTGTTCATATGCTGCACCAGCTGGGCATCTGGCATCTAGGATGTCCAAGCCGCGGTCAAAGTGCCACCGGGACAAACTCACCCGCTCGTCATGGCGCTGCCGCGGGTGATCTTGAACTTGAACTCCTCAAGGCTGCGCACCACATAGTGATTTATAACCAGCACGTCATCCAGAGGGTGAGAGAGGGGGTCGCTGACATTGGCATACTGATGAGCGCCCATCTCGACTTTGGCAGAGTTGACTGCAGGATTCATGGGTGTGGGGGTTGGGTGAAGGGGTTCAGGTGGGCATGAGTACATGCAGGGCCATGAAGGACCCGCAATGAGGTTGTGCATCGCTCCAGTGCAGAGGTCAGTGGCGCCACCAGCTGTTGATTCATATGCACCGATTAACCGCCAGCAATCCTCACCCTGCATTGCCCATGCGTAGCTAAACAGAGCAAGTGGCCCCTCCCTTCTCATCTACCACCATTCGCACCTGCAAAGTACCCTGGCTGGTAAACGAATGCATGAGGGTTGCTGGATGGACCCGCCACGTGCGCTGTATTGGCCAGCGTTTTGATGTGGTCGTGCAGCGCGGGCTGGCAGGAGGTGAAGCTCTCGAGAACAAGGCCCTGGGGGGCGGCAATGTGGCCAGAGGACCCGTACCACCGCCAGCTCACCACCAGGCCACCATAGGGCTCATAGCTTTTTTGGGGTTGAGGGCGGGGGGGCCACGGGAGGAACGGGGTGGTGAGAGTAGGAGCGACGTCATTGAGACGGGGTCCTGGTCAAGTTCACGTCCACACAAGGCCGGCACCGACAGCCATGCGCAGCTGGAGGACAGCCATGCAAGCCCCGCCCAGCCGCCCTGCTGCCTCACCGCTTCAGCACCGTTTGCAAGTCTTGGGATCCGTCTCTGATTATCAAGAACTCGTCGCTGTCCAGGAAGCCTGATTGCAGGGCAGAGTTATCCAGGGCGGCCAGCATCCTATCAGACACAGAATACTGTGTCGGCTGCCTTTGGCTCACACGTGCTGGGCTCATGTGGTGCCCGGGCGTGTGGTGCCCGGGCTGCACATTTCTGAAATCATGCGGCCTGCCCAGGTAATGCGGCGTCGCGCACGCCCCGTCCACACTCATAGAAGGAGCCGCGGCCAGCTATACATACCTAGCCAGCCGTGCTCGTCCCGGTGCTGCTTGATGCAGTCGTCGTAGACCGCCACCTGGTGGGGGCTGCCCAGGGGCGTTGACAGGAAACGGTAGTGTACCTGCAACCAGTGTAAGGCAGGGTGGTTCAGCATGAAGGCACAGCAAGGGCAGCTGCACCAGTCAGACTGGGGTGACGTAGCTGCCAGCGCGCTACCCCTGAAGTGAAGGCTCGCAGTGGAGCGAGGCGGGAAGGGAACCGGCGTGGCGCACCACGCCGGCTCGGATAAAATCCTTGAGCGTGTCTTCCAAGGGTGGGCTGCTGTTGTCGTCATACACATAGAATCTCGAAACCCCGATGCTCCAATGGTAGGCCACCCACTCCCTGACGCGCTGGTGGTCCCCTGCGGCATACGTTCGTGGGGCGCAAGCGGATGACATGCGCTAGAGAAAGGCAAGCGGCCGGGGTGCAAGCAGGCGTACAACAGGCCGTTGCCAGCTGCTCCATAATCACATGAATGTTCATTTTGGGGCACATAAAACCAAGCAGCCGCGCGCACCTCGAATCAGGAGACAGAAGGCGGCGTAATTTGCCTGCTGCTGCTGCTGCTGCTGCTGCTGCTGCTGCTGCGCCAGGACAGGCGCCCCTGACTCTGGTATGGCTGCCTGCGCTGCTGCTGAGTTCGGCGCCGCTGCTGTCGCTGGTATAACAGCTGCCGCAAGCGCTGCCGCCATCGCCGCAGCTGTTGTCCCAAGGCCCTTGGCAGGCGACATGATGCTGGGGCTGCCATAGCTGCTGCCATTGCCAATGCGGCTGCCACCGCCCGTACCACCCCCGCCACCGCCTTGACAGTTGCGAAGGAGCTGCAGCAGCTGCCGGTTGTTTTGCTGCTGTGATAGAATGATGCTCGCCGCAGTAATGGCCACGACTAGCCACGCAAGCACGAGCAGTCGGCGCCGTGGCTCGTGCTGCACTGCGCCGCCTGCCACTGGCGTGAGCCTGGCCTTCAAAGGTAAACCCACGTTATATTCACACTGTCGACGTAAACCGTTCATCTGAATCATCATGCCTGCGAATGGCACGATGATTCAGATGAAGCGGACGGTTGAGCGTTGACGGCCCTTCCACGGCTGCCGAAGTGGTGTGATATTGTGAATTTGAAGGAGGAAACTAAATATACACGACCTCTATGAACTCGCGAGGTGGCTGGAATGCGTTGAGATTGTCTGACACCGGGCACTGCGACTGGGTACTGTACTGCGCTCATCGCCGCCTGCTGGTCGTGCTGCAATCAGCGGTTTGCCGCTCTGCTGCGCTTGGTCCCCCACAATTCCTGAGGAGCTTAATCAAGGCCGTTCCCTATGCAGTAGAGCTGATGTAAGCCCCCGCACTGGCAATGGCCGTCTACCTCGGCGTGGTTGTGATTACCAACGCCAACATCAGTAGTGTGGATTGCAGCACACCAGATTCCAGCGATGGTATCACAATTGCATCTCACAGGAATGAAACCTGCAGATTGCGTTCGCACTTATCATAGCGCCAACTGCCTGAACACAAAGGCAGGAACTCATGTGCGCTCGTCCGTCGGCAGCTCGAGCTGTTCGTTTGTGTCGCTTTGAAAAGCGGGCTTGCAGGTGCAAGCCGGCCTGCAGGTTATGAAAGCAAATGGATCACGAGCAAATGGTAGCATGTGCATGGCATGTTGCACGAGCCCAGACTGCCACAGCGGAAAGTGCGCGCAGTGTGTCAATGGACCGGGCGAGGTGAAGCAAGTACTGAGGTCCCAGATATGCAGGGGAATTGTCTCGTACGTGTGCCAGGAATGCCGCCAAATCATCTCTGCACATAAAATGAGAGAGGCACCGCGTGACGACAGGCCACGAGGACGAGCTGTCGTGAGCTCTGCTCGCGTGCACTGCAGCTTCCCCCATGCCGTTGGCGACTTGGCAGTTGGGTCTGTTAGTTGGCTCGTGTTTGAGACGCTAGTGTATTGTCTTGTTTCGCATACGGACACGGACACAGAAGCACGAGCACTCAGATCGCCAGAGGCCCTGCATTCTTTCAGGGGCCGCTCAGGGGCATCAGCGGACCCAGCCACTCTTTATACCTCGAACGGATTGCTGGAGAGGGGAAGAGGTCACCAGCAAGGCAGGCACTGCGGTGAGGCAAGCGTCAAGACGCTGCAGCGCTCTTCAGGCACACAGCCTTGAGTTGCTGCAACGTCCTCATGACGCAGCCCCCAACTGGAGTGTGGACCTGCGGCGTTTCCCTGCCGATCGCTGCCTGGTGGCGGACCAGCAGGGCGCTCAACGCGACGCACACTCTCTCGTCCAGCAGGCGGAAGTGCGAGCGCTCGCGGGCGTTGGCGCGGCAGCGGTCGCAATGGCGGCGCCAGGGGTCGACCAGGAGGCCGTCCTGCGGCTGATGGATACGACCGGCGCGGACGCCGACCAGGCGCGCTTCCTGCTGGAGGCCGCAAACGGGAGCTTCGACGTGGCAGCCCACATGTACTTCGGTGCGAC